AATCACCGAAGTGTTTCTGACGATGGCACAGGAGAGGGAGAACGGAAATTTATAGTGAACAGTGGATGGTCGTCATCAGACACGGACTACTACGGCCGACAGGAATTGCAAGGCCGTTCGGATCGCAACCACACGAAAAAAAAAAAAGCAAAAAAAAAAAAAAAAAAAAAAAAAAAAAAAAAACGAACTCGCGAAAATATATATATATATATATCAATAAAAAAGCAAAAGAAAAGTGATAAAATTTCATAAAACACATGTGCGGGCCACAAATAATGGACACCTGTCCACATCGGCCAGTCCCTTTTATGACAGGTCGTTCTCTCCTCTGCCGAGTGTGGAGTTTGACGATCTGGCGGCCATGACTAGTACGAGGCTTTGCAGAACAGCGTTCCCCTCGTGCATGGCACCCGCAACAGCTCCGATCTGGACTGCAACGTCACCGATCGTCGTGGATATCATAGCCGCTCCCTCGCATATAGCACGAGCCAGTGTTCCGGAAGCCTTGTCGAGACCTTCGCAAAGAGTTTTCGCCGAGTCCTCCATGGCTGTCTTCGTCGAAGATGAGGATGTGGGTGCGTCGCCACGCACCCTACCCGACGATGTCCTGCGCGACCTGCCACTCGTGTCCGAAGCGTCCGTGCCACCGCCATCGGATGCGACACCCCCACCCCTCGTCGAACCGCCTCCTACGCCTCCTTCCCCGGTTCCGATCCCTCCCCGATCTCGCCCGATCGGCTCCCTCCACCAGCAAGCCCCGGTCCGGTCCCACCCTGGCCCTGCCCCAACAAGTCACCCCCTCCACCTTCACCCCCATCACTAACGCCACCGCTGCGCCCCGATCCGCTCCCTCCGCCACTTGCCAGGTCCTCTGAAGCGAGAGTGGCGTCGCACGTGTACGACTTCTTCAATCGCCACCACTCCATCGCATCCCAAAGAGGCTCCTCGAACGTTGTGCAGACGTCCTTCTCCCTTCGCTGCTCTGTGGTCATGTTGAAGTAGCCTGCCTCCCCTGACCTGTAGCACTTGTCCCCGATCTGGCTAACGATCTCCTTGAGTTTCGTCCACTTCTTCCTGCAGTCCTCCGCTGTCCTGTTGTACCCCTCCTCCTTCAATCGATCTGCGATCCATTCGTATCTTTTGGCACGCGTCTTGTGCTTATGCACGCCGTTGGCGTCGGCCATGAGGGCATCGTCTTCCGCGCAATTCCTCGCCAACGCTATCCGCTCCTCCAAGGTCCACGGGTTGTTCTTCTTCCCCCCCTCCGCCCTCGGCGCCCTCCTCGCACACTGCTTCTTCTGCCCCGACGTCGTATCCTCCGCCGATCGACCGACATCGCCCCGCATGACCGAACCTTCGCCGACAGCATTGTCCGCTGTCCTTTTGCCCGTGACATTGCCTGCAGGCCCCCCTGACCGAGAAGGTGTGGAAGAAGCAACGGCCTCATCACCGAACTGCATCGCAGCTGTCTCGCCATGCCACCCCTCAACCGCAAACGCAGTCCTTTCTCCACCGCCAGCTGTTCCAAAGCTTGAAAATCCACCCCCCCACCCCGACAACTGACCATGCATGAATCCACCGTCAGACAAACGTGCAGGCACTGGACCTTGCACCTGAGCGCGCATGGTTTGGGGCTGTGGCTGAGCGTTTGCGGGAACGTGCGACTGCCTTTCCGTGTGATCGGCCATGACGACGTTCTCCATTCTTCCACCCGGCGACGAGCGTCGTGGACCTGTAACACCGCATGACATGACCGATCCGTACGGGGAATGCGCCATACCCTGCGAACTCCCCGGTGCCCATGCAGCAGACAGATCGTCGTTGCCTACCGCCCCTCCCCACGCGCTAGACGGCAGTTCGACGGGCGAGTAAACACCGATGGACTTGTCATGCATCTGCACCGCTTGGCGAGCATACAAGGAGGAAGAACCACGAACACCCACTCCTGCTCCACCTCCCGCTTGCCCTCCCCGGCTCGAAGGTGGAGCCGATGTGTACTGCCATTGTTGTGCACCGGGCTGGAATCGCTCGTTGCTGAACGGCGTGCGCGGCCATTGCCGTGCCACGCTGCACACCTCCACCTCGGTCCATCTGAGTGCCAGCGATGTCCTCTACACCTGACCGATCAGAATCCATGGCATCGTCATACTCCCCCATAAGCTCGGACGTGAATCGGCGTCCTTCCATACCTCACACAATTGGGGCAGTTCTCTTTGCAAGCAGCTGCACCTCCTCACCCTCTCGAAGTCAGAACATGAACCGCAAAGCGGCGATCAAGCACACTGTCAGACAAATGATGGCTATGGCGGCCAAACAAAGGAGCATGCAAAGGACGACGACAACCCCCGCGATGGCTTGGCCGACCACTGCCCGGCGACTGCAGTCGGGCACGCACGAAATGATGATCACGACGCACTTGTTTTTCGTGCGCTGCCTCGCAGGGACTGCTTCCCCGCTGCTCGTCATAAGGATGGTATGCCGATCTTTGGAGATGGCGAAGGGGGACCGAGATGCAGTGTCACCAACACCATCTACCACCGACAGCATCTGCCGAGGAGGACGTGATGGCAGCGCGGGGACGGTGGTGGGTCGTAAAGCCGGCAAGACGTTCGTCGGGCAGTGCGATTTCAGAAATGGTAAAGTCGACACCTTGGAAGCACACACCGGAGGAACGGAGAATCAACGAACGAACATGAGCGGTTGTGCTATGACATCTGTCCTTCCCCGGAGCATGAAGGACTTGCATTGCCTCTGCGCAACCACTCGCCCGTTCATACCCGGTGGTACACACTGTCGGAGGCCATGAATGTCGAGGCAGTCAGCGATGCTTCGACGAAACACGTTGGCGATGGAAGCATGGCAGCGGATGGAGGAGGCAGTCCGCGAGACTTGGGGGGCCAGGATTTTCACCCTGCTGTGCACACAGCCGCAAGGAATGTCCGTTGTCTGCACGGCATGCGAATTGGACCACGGCCTACTTGACGCCCATCCTCGTACAATCGGCAGTTTTCGAATTCGAATTCGGAAAAACCGGCGGCCCCGACCGCCCCTCCAGCACTCGCCCTGGCGGGGAGTCGTTTGTGGGTGTTAACAGGAAGTCCGTCTACCGACTGCAAGGACCACGGGACGTGCAGGCTCGGACCACGGTTGGACCAGCACTTTCCAGAAGAAGTTTCCAAGAGAGAGATGCCCCCCCCCCTACCCTCTCGAAATGGCACAAAATTCCGGCGCAAGATGATCGCGTGCCGCCACGACACCACGATACAAATGTGAAAACATGGAACTCCACTTTTCCGAACAACCTTTCCGACGCGGTGGGGTCTCCGAAAACAGTCGGAAACTCCCACAATCGAGTTTCCAGACGGCCATCTTCTTCCGATGTAATCCCGGAAAAGTTTTTCCAGGCCATCTTTTCCAGGACTTTTCCACGATTTCGTCCTGTGGGGTCCAGGCCTAAGTCGCCCATTTCTCAATGAAATCGGGTCAGAACAGATGCTAGAGGGGGATTTATAGGCCGGGTAAACCGGAATCTGACATTAGTTTGAGTGGAAAGTCAGTAGAATGTAAGATAGAGAAGAAAAGAGGTGCGCAGGGAGATGGAGGAGAGTGAGGGTGGCGAAAGGGAAAAAGAGGTAACTCACTTGATTCTCCATCGAATTGAGTGAGTGAAGATGCAAAACGGGGGTTTTGAGGCGGGGCGAACACAGTGGTAGCATTAGTTTTTGCACTGGGTCGTTAGTCTGGTCGGGGTGAGTGGTAGGAGCTGCGCCTGAAGAAAATAAGCTTCACAGAGAAAGTGTATTTTATTCGTGTTTCGGCAGAAGATTCATTTTCCTGTCCTTGCTGCTCACCATTATTGATCAATCTTGAGAAATATGTTGGCAAGGGTGACACTGTGAGAGAGAGAGGCATGAGAAGAGGGGAGGGAATGAACCTACCCGCGTTCTAGTGGAATATTCATTCTCATTTTTTTTCAAGTGTAGTTAGCTCCAACTTCGAAGTTATATTGAATTTCCCCTCCGCTTGCTGCTATCGGGGTCGCGATTGTCATCATGTTGATCAAGGTTTATCCCGATCATGGTGCATACCTCAGATTCTTTTCCATTCGTGGTATTTGTTCACTAACGACTTGACGAACATGGCATGGAAAGCGGCCAAGTGCGCTCGTGAACTGAGGGTTTTCTGCTTGTATAATCCCAATGATGCTTTTGGGGGTGATCAACCATCAGGAGGTTTAGTATCCCAGTCTGGGTCTCCCTAATGCTCTCATATGCATCATTGTGGAACTTCTCCTCTCTCAGTACTCTCTACGCAGACCCACCCCTCATGCCCTGCATCAACTGTACGCCAGAGGTTGGGCTTGAACGGATCCCGAATTGAGTCTTCCTGTAGCTCGATTTTTTTTTGCTGGATTCTGAGTGCAGGCTGGGTCCTTGCTTAAATGACCATACACACGACACCTAAAACACCACGACCTTAATTTGTGGGCTGTGTGAATGTGGTATTCCCGACCACCCACCCTATACGGTATGACATCATCAATGTTAAACGGGACGTTGGTTGGATGGTTAAGAGCCAACATGAGATAATTATCCATTTTGGCTGCATAGGCTAGAAGGGGATCTATAAAATCTACTATGTCATAATTGACCAAAAAATCATGCATAAAAAGAACTAGGATTTCTATTGGGATACGCCTAAATTCAACCCAATAAAAATCCTCCATCATTTGATTCCGCTTTTCAGCTGGACTTTGTTTCGGCGGCGTCCAAGGATAAATACGAACTTTCGAACGTTTACATCTCAGTTTCCTTCAACAATCAATTGTTTTTTAGTCGGATGTATACAAACACAAAACAGTAAAAATAGTCGTTGATACTGGAAGAATGAAAAAATCCTCACACACAGCTAAAATCACACGATATTTTGAGGAAATAATAAATTTAGAAAGGAAAAAAACTTTGGTCGTGAGGAGATTACGCAGGGGTATTTTCAGTGGTTGAGATTGCATTCCCTGCCTTCGGATTTTTAATTCCTTAGCTTGATACGACCCCTTTACACATTGTGCCAAAGACAAAGGGCCGACATTCTCTTGATTCATGTTCTATTATGAAGATTTCATTTCCCCTTGTTGCTGTGTTTGATCGTGGGGGGCGGGGAGATCAATCTGCTGTGAAGAAAACACAATTTTCAACCTTTCCTTACTTTCCCCTTGGTCACCATCACCCTCCTTGACTCCTTCTAGTATCCATTTCTTCACCTTTTCGTCTCCCCTTTTTCTCATCCTTCCCCCCTTCCACCCCTCTCCTCGCTTCCCTCTCCTTTCCCCTACCTTTCCGTCTTCTCTTCCCTCTCTCCCCTTTCTTTTTCTCCTTCTCTTTTCTCCTCACCCGCCCTTTTTCTTCTGCACTCTTGCAATCCTCCCTGAGAGGACCCAGCCTGAAACACCATACTTCCTTTACTTCCAAAGGAATATTGGGACAGCCATTGCCCTTATCCTCCCACAGTTGAACTTCTCTCGCGACTGAAAACCTTCGCCGACAATGTTGTTTCTGTTTCATGCAACAAACAGGCGAGCTGTGTGACGCAAACTTGCCGTATTTAATCACAAATTCACTCCAGGCCCGTAAAATTTACAAAAAAATATGTGCTAGTGCGAGTATGCCCCCAGTTAATACCGCGATGTATAGTTGAAATAAAGGGGCTAGTTGCACTACTCTAGACTCGTGAAAAATTTCTAGAGTCGCTCTAGAGCTGCCAGAGTCGAAAAAGTCATAAAATCTACGCATCGCCGCACTAGCTTTGGACTCTAGAAAAGCTAGAGTTGCTCCGCCACTTTCTGAGTTCAGCCATTTCACTAAAGGACGGCGCCAGCATGGGTTGTCCGTCCAGACTCAAGGCCCACTAAAGATTCGTAAAGAAAAACCAAAGTGTTTCCAAGGTCCTCCGCTGGACCTCCCTAAAAAAAATCGCCTCTGCAAGTTGGTGCTCTAGATCAATTTAGAGTGAGAAGGATCGACCCGCTCTGACAACTCAAGAAATGAAAAATCTAGAACAAACTGATGGGTGTAAATCATGCATCATAGGGCTACCACTAGGATCATGATAAATGGCAATGTGGCCCCTCCAATAAATTTACTAAGATCATTCTAGCAAGGGGACCCACTTGTTTCCTTTCTATTTATCATCATAATGAAAGTACTTGCAACAAACATTAGGTGTCATAAGGACATTAAAAAAAATCAATTATCATCTATCACAGAAGAGGCGATTCAGGTATGTTTCCTTTTTGCTGCTGATCTCTCATTACTAGTGGATGTCACAAAAGAAAATATGGAAGCAATTCACAGACTTATGATTAAATTTTGCGGATTATCTGATATGAAAGGTAATTGGGGTAATAAGACCTTAGGGTGGTGGATCCATCATCAGAGAGGCAGACCACCAGAAATGCCTTAAATAAATCATCTCTATTGAGTTTTTGGCTGCCATTGCGGGGCCCTCAGGAGATTCAACATTCCAAGGCCCTCTCCTGTATCTTGAGCGTTTGAAACCCCTCCTTCCGCCCTTCTTACTCTAAGTCTAGTCTAAGGTTACGAGAGGAAGGCGGCAGGCGGGATTGCAACCTGTAGGACCGCAACAAGACCTTGTGGGAGGGTCCCCCTCCGGAACCGATGCGCTCGACAACGTTGGACAATCGCAACACTAATCGGCCACAACAATCGAAATTGGAAAACCTACTACACCAACGACGGATGCACCGCAGGGCACAAAAACGACACCGAAGGCCGCTATGTGGGGGACGCGAGCGATGAATACTTAAAACATTAATCAAACAATACTTGTATCAAACAATGCGACGAGCAAGAATGGTCCCTCCTGTGTCTACACTACCTCCACCGTGACACACTGCAGCACGCAGGACGACGACAACGACGCTGCTCCCGAAATG